ATGTAGGCCTAATCAGTAGGTGTACTGGTACGGAAAATAATTATAGGCTCTGAATATAAAGCAATCTTGTCACAAAACTTCGATGAGTGAATAATGAAGATTCTTTGGAAGACAATAAAAATGCACTTAATTGAGTCAATAATAATTAAATTGATTTTATTAAGCTTGGATAAGATGACGAAGTATTCAAAACCTTCTGTTAATATTTTAAGTAAATGACTGATGCTTTGTCCTCACTATACGTCCTCTTATCTGTCACATGTTTCTAAATGTACATACTCCGGTGGCATAGGCTACATCTAATATCTTAACTGACACGGTCACTACGTATTCAGCCACTGTCAACTTATTTATCGTACATCAACTAATAAATTAATAATGACCATATTTGGAAGAACTTCATCTAGTCTTTAGTAATAATAACCATATTAACTGTCAAAGTCATATATGAAATTAACATCCGGGATAGATGATTATTTATCAAAAAAGTATACGTAGTTGTTTTTGAAGGTTAGCTTAAAATGATGACCATATTTGGAAGAACTTCATCTAGTCTTTAGTAATAATGACCATATTAACAGTCAAATTCATACTGTATATAAAATTAACATCCGGGATAGATGATTTTTTTTTTACGATTGTTATTATATTACAAGTAATTTTGAATATAATTTTAGTGTGTTCTTTTTCTTCTTACAGATTCAGAAGTGAAAAGTCAAGTACATATTTGTATTTACCAATTCCTGAATCATTCAAAATAAAGACCTAGGAATGTTGTTACGATTATGATTTAATTTGTTTAATCATATATACTTTTATATCAGAATATTAAAATATATGTATTTGTACATTCCATTTAAACTATAATATTTGACAATTTATGTATTTTTTAAATAAATATGATCATCAGATTGATGACTCAAAGTTAATGGTGACATGAAGTAGGTGAACGCACTTGAACACCTTCACTGCCTGCCATGACCTGCTAAAAAAAGCTAGTCACCTATATTTAGCATCTGACCTACTTCTTTCTGTGCATTGTAATAGGCCTTTTTCACGCTGCGGTAGACATCTTCGATCGATGACAAACAGTGCTGAGCAGCGAAGCGTAACCAATAGAAATAACATAGCGTTTCGACCATACAGTATTTTCGGAGGTCATGTTACTTTAAAAAATCATAAATTCTTAACGGAGGGCCGTGTCAACATAATTTTTTCATTAAAATGTTCGCAAAGGATATATCTACGTAATGAATAAAAAAAATTGAAAATTTGTTTAGTCTGTCAAAACTTAACTGGAAAATGGAAGACACATTGCCATTATTTCATTGTTCGACCGAATATCATTTAGCGTGACGGCCATATTTTCGGAGGTCATATTACTTACAGAGTCATAACTCCTTAACGGAGGTCGTATCGACATAATTTTTTCTTTAAAATGTTCGCAAAGAATATATCCAAGTACTGTATGAGTGACAAAAACAAATATAAAATTTGTTTAGTCTGTCAAAACTTAATTGAAATAATAGCAACATGCTCTGTACAAAATAAGTTTTCTACTTTCTAGTTAATTTTTGACGGACAAAACAAATTTTCATTTTTTTTAAATCATACAGTACGTAGATGTATCCTTTACGAACTTTTTAAAGAAAAAAATATGTTGACACGACCCTCCGTTAAGGATATATGATTTTTTGAGTAACATGAGCTCCGAAAATATGGCCGAAACGCCATGTTATTTCGGTTGGTTACGCTTCACTGCTCATCATTGTTTGTCATCGATCGAAGATGTCTACCGCAGCGTGTGAAAAAGGCCTATGCTTCACATTCCTGAAGGAGGCGTACAAAGAATATGCCTTCTCACCCTCATGAGCACCGTGGGAAAGTTTCTTTCCGATTCTGGTACAGGAGGCCTCGAAGTAGTCAATTTTTCTAGCTTTAGAAGGAAGCCCGCCCCGAAGACTGAAACTGTGGAATGGCTATTAACATGTCTTTAAAATTAATTATATATTAAAACTGCATTTTATTATGTATTTTATAAACATCACAATATGTATAAAAAATGGAAATAAAACAAACAAGAAAATACAAACCTTGTGCTGCTTCACCTCAAGAGTACCATGGGAATCTAGTTTGTGGGAAATTAAATTATAGCGCAACTATGGAATAGGACTAGAAAGAGTCATTTTGTCGGGCTTAAGAATATAAAAGAAGCCTGAAATAGATCATTAAAATGTACGGTGTTAAATTATAAATATATTGAATATTTTATGTGGAAAATAAATATGAAAATACTGTACTATATATTTCCTTCATTTTCATTCATCATATATCATTCAGTATGTTCATTTATCAAATTATAAACATGATCAGAACATTCAAGATAAATGGAAACGTAACGGACAAGAAAACAAATGTATGAAAAAATAATCTATTTATTTTATAAATCTCCATTCAATTTATGCATTAGTAACATATATATCGCAACGAACGTTAAAAAGAAACTTGTCTCAAACCAAGTCGACTTTGTTACATTTTCGTTGTTTCTGTAAAAAAAAAAAGATAAATAACACCCAGTGACACGTGATATTAATAATCATAGACTATAATATTATAGTACAGTACTACAAATAATTGTTAGTCAACTAATGCTTTAGGTAAGTTCTGTGTTTATAAAAATTAGCTTAGCTCCCTTGCACCGACGCGTCGGCGCGCCATACACCGCGACCGCAATGCATAACGAAAATAGCGCGACCGAAATGAAGGTGCGACCGAAATGATCGGATACCCGATTGTTTACCTCGGGAACTGACGTCACGAGGCTAAAATAACGATACGCCATTTGCGTCTCTACCAAACCTATTAGCTAAATGATACGTTCGCTAATAATTACCAGTATCACAATGACTTTTGATACAATATAAATACGTAAATATGACGATATATTTTCAATCATACAAATCTCGAAAAAACTGAAGAATAAATACGTGTGATTTAAAAAAAAATAATGAACGTGGCCTTCCATATAAAATAAAGTACGCCCTCAGTCGGATCAATATTTTTTTTTTATTTTAACAAGCGGAGCGACGGTGGTACCCAAGCGAGGTGAAAGTAAAGTTTGTACAATATTGGGGTACCGTATTTTAATCGCATTTGTATGTACTTAGCCTACTACCTGATCTTTCAATTTTATTTTCAATTCAAAATAAAATCAGCCAAACCTATATAAAGAAAACAACATAGTGTATGTATAATTTTCTATGCCTAAACATTTTTTCATGCAAACTTTTGATATCATTGTGAAAATAAACCTTCATTAAACCAAATATTTTGTATTTGTCTCCTACTCCCCCATCTCAAGTCAGTATAGTGAAATGCAGTTCAATAACCAAGTCTTGAAATATCCGAATATAAAATTTCCGTAGCACTTAATATATTTTCTTAATTGAAAAATACGAATTGCTTAAATACAGGGTACAAGATAGTAACAGCTCTGGAACAAACAGGACTGAAAAATTTACGGGTCGCTTTTTCTTAATTTTCACAATACTTTTGTCGTTAATCTTACAAGTATGTCTGTCTAGGAAAATGTAACCAAATATTTTGATGGAAAAGTAATTTGTTCTGGACTTGACCTATTTATTTGGACTTGGCCAGGCCTGCGATAAAATTCCGTAATCGTTTGTCTATTTCCGTACGTCCGTATTATTTTAAAGCCCCATTCCCGACAAGATTTCAGTTTAAAAAAATATGATTTTTATATATTGTTATAAAGATTTATAAATGTAATACGAAATTGCCAATTTAACTGAATTTAGACATTCCTAAACATGAAAAAAGTGTAAAATAAGACTGAAATTTCATTTTTTGTGTTCCACACAAAAAAATCAATGCGGATGGATTTTTCATGTTTGATTTTGCGATAGGTCTGCGAAGAAACATAGTAGGCGCCGAAAACGTTAGACTATCCAACTACACTGCTAGGCTACTAGGCCTAGCCTTACCTCGAGTTATGTTTCGTTATCACACATAAAAACGGCCGACATATGAAAAAGCACAATTCGTCGGGGAGAAAAAATATTGTATGTATTTTTTACATAATAGTAGACTTTAAAATCGACTAAATAAGCCTTCGAAGCTCGACCACGCCCACTTTACTTTCATCGGGAAAATCTGACACCTCATCGGGGG